GAGGGTGGATGAGATGGGAGGGGGATTGAGGGCAGGAGTGCTGTGCATATTGCTATGTGTGCTGTGAATGTGTTGCTCTGATTGGTTAATAAATAAAATGCTGATTGGCCATTAGCCAGGCAGGAAGTATAGGCAGAACAAACAGAGAAGGGAATTCTGGGAAGAGGAAGGCTGAGTCAGAGGTCACCAGCCAGACACAGGGAAGCAAGATGTACATGGCAAGGTATAGATTTCTAGAAATGGGTGAATTTAAGATGTAAGATCTAGCTAGCAAGAAGCCTGAGCCCTCAGGCCGTACAGTGTTAATTAATATAAGCCGGTGGGTACTTTTTTGGGTCTGAGTGCATGCTGGTATAGGTGAGACTGGAGAAAACTCCAGCTACAGAATGGGCTTATTAGGGAGGGGGTATGAGCAGGAAGGGGAATTTGAAGGGTTGGGGCATGAGAATGGTGGGGGAATGAGAACTGAGCAGGAATGAGAAGGGGGAGGAATGAGAAGGGCAGGATGACAAGGGATGTGGAATGAGAAGGAAGATCGGAAGGGAAGGGAGGAGGATTCAGAAGGGTAGGTGGCAAGAGAAAGTTTAGAGATTGAAAAGGGAGGTAAAAAAGAAGGAAGGGAAACAGGAAGGGAGTTGAATGATAATGGGAGGACATGAGAAGGGAAAGGGATGAGAATGGATGGGGAATGAATGTGGAGGATTGAGAATGAGAGGGGGAATATTAGGAGATGTAATGAGAAGGGAGGGGCATGAGAAGGGAGGCAGATGATTAGGAAGGAGCATGAGAAGGGAGGGGGAATGAGAAGGAAGGGGCATGAGAAGGGAGGAGGAATGACAATGGACTGGAAAAAAGAAGGGAGGGGTGTTGAGATGGGAGGGGAAATAGAATGGAGGGGAGATGAAAATGGAGGCTAGAAGTGAATGGGATTGAGATGTGAGGGGGAATGGAAGAGGAGGGGATTTGAGCAGGGAGAAGGAATAAGAAGTTATGGAGGATGAGAACTGAGGGGAAATGAGAAGAGTGGAGGTATCAGACGTGAGTGGGGGTGAGGTGTAAGGTTGAAAGTGAAGAGAAGGGGAATGAAAATTTAGGGGGAATAGTAAGTGTATGGGAATGAGGTGGGAACAGGATGAAAACAGAGGTGGGATGAGAAATGAAGGGGATAAGATGTTAGGGGGAGTGTGAATGGAGGCCAGAAGAGAAGGGAGGGCATATGAGAAGAGAAGGGGAATGAGAAGTGAGGGGGGATGAGGAGGGAGGAGGGATGAGCAATGAGCAGGAATAATAAGGAGGAATGGGATGGGCGGGAGAATATGATGGGAGGGGGCATTAGAAGGGAGGGGAGCTAGGCCAGGTGGTGGTGGCACATGCCTTTAATCCCAGCACTCCAGGCGTATCTCTGTGAGTTTGAGGCCAGCCTGGGCTACCAAACGAGTTCGAGGACAGGCACAAAGCTACACAGGGAAACCCTGTCTCGAAAAAAACAACAAAAAAAAAAAAACAAGAAGTGAGGGGAACTAGAAGGGAGGGGGAAGAGAAAGTATTGGGAATGAGAAAGGAGAGGGAACAAAAAGGAAGTGGATATGAGAAGGTAGGGGAACTAGAAGGGAGGGGAGATGAGAAGGGAGGGGATTGAGAAGAGGAAAAAGAAAAAGATGTGGGGATCAGATTGAGTGGGAATGAGAAGGGAGGGAGATTGAAAAGAAGAGAGAATGAGAATAGAGAAGGAGGAGGAGAATGAGAAGGGAGGGAGAATGAGAAGAAAATTGGAATGAAAAGGGAAGTGGAATGAGAAGGGATGAGAATGAGAAGAAAGGGGGAATGTGAAGAGAGAGAGGTTTACAAGGGAGGGGAATTAGAAGGGAGGGGGGATTACATGGGAGATAGATAAGAACATAGGGGAATGAGAAGGGAGGGGGATGAGAAGGGAGGGGGATGAGAAGGGAGGGGGATGAGAAGGGAGGGGGATGAGAAGGGAGGGGGATGAGAAGGGAGGGGGATGAGAAGGGAGGGGGATGAGAAGGGAGGGGGATGAGAAGGGAGGTGGATGAGAAGGGAAGGTGGATGAGAAGGGATGAGGACTGAGAGGGGAGGGGGATGAGAAGGGAGGGGGATGAGAAGGGAGGGGGATGAGAAGGGAGGGGGATGAGAAGGGAGGGGGATGAGAAGGGAGGGGGATGAGAAGGGAGGGGGATGAGAAGGGAGGGGGATGAGAAGGGAGGGGGATGAGAAGGGAAGGTGGATGAGAAGGGATGAGGACTGAGAGGGGAGGGGGATGAGAAGGGAGGGGGATGAGATGGGAGGGGGAATGAGATGGGAGGAATGAGTGCTGTGGATATTGCTATGTGTGCTGTGAATGTGTTGCTCTGATTGGTTAATAAAAAAAACACTGATTGGCTAGTAGCCGGGCAGGAAGTATGGGCGGGACAAGCAGAGAAGAGAATGCTTGGAACAGGAAGGCTGATTCAGAGGTCACCAGCCAGACACAGGGAAGCAAGATGTACATGGCAAGGTATAGATTTCTAGAAATGGGTGAATTTAAGATGTAAGATCTAGCTAGCAAGAAGCCTGAGCCCTCAGGCCGTACAGTGTTAAGTAATATAAGCCTCTGGGTATTTATTTGGGTCTGAGTGCATGCTGGTCTAGGTGAGACTGGAGAAAACTCCAGCTACAGAATGGGCTTATTAGGGAGGGGGTATGAGCAGGAAGGGGAATTTGAAGGGTTGGGGCATGAGAATGGTGGGGGAATGAGAACTGAGCAGGAATGAGAAGGGGGAGGAATGAGAAGGGAGAGGAAAGATAAGGGAGGGGATGAGAAGGGAGTGGGAATGAGAAGCAAGTGGGAATCAGAAGGGCAGGGGAATGAGAAGGAAGGGACTGAGAAGGAGGGAGAATAGAATAGAGGATAAGGAGGGGAAGGAGAAGGGAGTTGGAATGAGAAAGAAGAGGAGAAGGGAAGGAGGTAAAAATTAGAAGGGTAGGTGGCAGGAGATTGGATGGAGATTCAAAAGGGAGGTAAATAAGAGGGAAGGGGGACAAGAAGGGAGGTGAATGAAAATGGTGTTAAATGAGAAAGGAGGGGGATGAGAATGAATGGGGAATGAATGTGAAGGGATGGGAATTAGAGGGGGCATGAGAAGTAGGGGGAATGAGGATGGAGGGGCATGAAAAGGGAGGGGGAATGAGAAGGGAGGGGCATGAAAAGGGAGGGGGATGAGAAGGGAGGGGAAACAAGAAGGGAGGGTGGATGTAATGGGAGGCAGAGCGAATGGAGGGGAGAGAATGGAGGGGAGATGAAAATGGAGGCTAGAAGTGAATGGGAATGAGATGTGAGGGGGAATGGAAAAGGAATTGAGTAGAGAAGGGAGAAGGAATAAGAAGTTAGGGGGGAGGAGAACTGAGGGGAAATGAGAAGAGTGGAGGTATCAGACGTGAGTGGGGGTGAGGTGTAAGGTTGAAAGTGAAGAGAAGGGGAATGAAAATTTAGGGGGAATAGTAAGTGTATGGGAATGAGGTGGGAACAGGATGAAAACAGAGGTGGGATGAGAAAGGAAGGGGATAAGATGTTAGGGGGAGTGTGAATGGAGGCCAGAAGAGAAGGGAGGGCATATGAGAAGAGAAGGGGAATGAGAAGTGAGGGCGGATGAGGAGGGAGGAGGGATGAGCAATGAGCAGGAATAAGAGGAGGGGGAATGAGATGGGAGGGGGGATTAAAAGGGAGGGGAATGAGAATGGAGAGGGAACAAGAAGGGAGGGGATATGAGAAGAGAGGGTACAATAAGAGGGGGAATGAGAAGTGATGGGTACTGAGAAGGGAGGGTAAATGAGAGCAAGGGCAGATGAGAAGGGAAGGGATTTAGATTGGAGGGTGATATGAAGGTAGGGTGGATGAGGACTGAATGGGAATGAAAAGGGATGGGGGATGAGCTGTTAGGAAAAATGAGAGAGGAGGTGGGGTAGGAAGTGAGGGGTAATGAGAATGGATGTGGTATGAAATGGGAAGGGGGATGAGAAGGGATGGGGCATGAAAAGTGAAGGGGAATGAAAAGAGATAGAAGAAAATGTGTGGGGATGAGAAGTTTGTGGGACTGAGAAGGTGGGGTGATGAGGAATGAGGAGAAGTAAGAAGGGAGGGGGAAATGAGAAGGGAGGGGTGATGAGCATTTAGTGGAAATGAGAGAGGAGGTGGTATAGTAAGTGAGGGGTAATGAAAATGGAGGTGGTATTATATGGGAGGGGGATGAGAAGGGAGGAGAATGAGAAGGGAGGGAAATGAGAAGAAGGGAGATTGAGAATAGAGAAGGAAGAAGGGATTGAGAAGGGAGGGGGATGAGAAGGGGGCAGACAGGAGAATTGAGGGCTTATGGGAATGGAGAGGAATGATAAGTGAGGGGGATGAGAAGGGAGGGGGATGAGAAGGGAGGGGGATGAGAAGGGAGGGGGATGAGAATGGAGGGAAATGAGAAGAAGGGAGATTGAGAATAGAGAAGGAAGAAGGGATTGAGAAAGGAGGGGGATGAGAAGGGGGCAGACATGAGAAGGGAGGGGGAATGATAATGGAGAAAAATGAGAAGTGAGGGGGAAAGAGAAGGGGGAGAATGGGAAGGGAGGGAGGGTTGAGAAGGTTAGAGGGAAGACAAGGGAGGGGGTTGAGAAGGGAGGGGCATGAGAATGAAGGGGGTTGAGAAGGTTGGGATGAGAAGGGAGGGGGATGAGATGGGAGGTTTATTGAGAAGGAAGGGGGATGAAAAAGGAGGGGTATGAGATGGCAGGGGGAATGAGAAGGGAGGGGGATATAAGGGAGTGGGAATGAGAAGGGAGGGCGGTTGAGAACGTGGGGAAAGACAAGGAAGAGGGATGAGAAGGGAGGGGGATTTAGAGGGGAGGGGAGTTGAGAAAGGAGTGGGGATAAGATGGGAGGGGGATTGTGGTGATATTGTGTTCCTTAAAATATTGTGCACCCTAATAAACTTATCTGGGGTCACAGAACAGCCACTAGACAGACATAGAGGCCAGAAAATGGTGGCACACACACCTTTAATCCTATCATTTGGGAGGCAGAGATTCATCTGGATCTCTGTGAGTTTAAAGCCATACTGGAAACAGCCAGGCGTGGTGACTCATGCCTTTAATCCCAGGAAGTGGTGGCAGAAAGCAGAAAGGTATATAAGGTGTGAGGACCAGGAACTAGAGCTGGTTAAGCTTTTAGGCTTTTGAGCAGCAGTTTAGCTGATATTCATTCTGGATGAGAACTCAGAGGCTTCCAGTCTGAGGAAACAGGATCAGCTGAGGAACTGGTGAGGTGAGGTGGCTGTGGCTTGTTCTGCTTCTCTGATCTCCAGAATTCACCCCAATACCTGGCTTTAGATTTGATTATATTAATAAGACCTTTTAAGATTCGTGCTACATCTGGCACCCAACGTTCCATGGTAAGAATTCACAAAAAAAGCTGCTTGTCTGTGGCCTTTAGGGATCCAGCTCAGACCTAAGTGGTAGTGGTGTATGCCTTTAATCCCAGCACTAGGGAGGCAGAGGCAGGAGGATCCCGAGTTTGAGGCCAGCCTAGGAAGCTTGCTAAGAGAAGCTTCGGCCAGGGCCCAGCCACAAATGGTGGCGGTGGGACCATGGAGGCAGCGGCTGCTGCTCCAAGTTGCTGGCTCCCTCTCATTGTGTTGGTGACTGCGGTGATGCTGCTACCTGGGATGAAGGGTTTCTTGTTGCTTGTTCAGAGAAGAATTGCCAGGACCATTGTGTTACAAGAAAGCATTGGCAAAGGTCAGTTTAGAAAAGTTTGGCAAGACAAATGGTGGGGAAAAATTGCTGTGAAGATTTTCTCTTCTAGGGAAGAATATTCATGGTTCCGAGAGATAGACATTTATCAGATTGTGATTGCTCCAAACCACAGAGGAGTCACAAAAAAAAAATCTGCAGGGAACCATGAGCACGCCTAACAGCAACTTTGAAATCTGCAAAAGGATGACAAGACCCCACAAAGATGTTTCCACATGGACTATGATAAAGCCATTAAGCTGATTAACACCACAGAAAGATCAACTTTGGGCTACAAACTACTCAGGACAATTTTGAGATGGCTAGCTCAGATGATCCAGCCTGACAGACTACTCGAACAAGGACTTGTGACAAGCCCTGTACTTTCCCGTTATGCAGAGACTGGACAAATGATACAGGACTTGACTATTAACCCCCAAATTTTCTTTTCAGGATCCTGTAAAGATGTCTTCACTCCCAGAAACAGGAAGTAATTTTAAGAAAACAACGCCCACATTCCCAAGAGATCGGGTGGGTGTTTTTTGGTCATTCAATGGTTTATGGATAATTGTCATTGTTTATGATGGTTGGTTACAAGCTGTTAATTGTTAATGGTCAGGAAAAAAGCTGAACAAGGAGATTAGATTCAGAGTTTTTGTTTAAAAATGAAAAAACAGAATATAGATATGAGGTAGATCATTGAATCTACTCTGAGGAAAAAAATAAAGAAAAATAGGATAACAGGGTAGATCATTGAATCTAACCTAAAAAGAAAAAGGGGAAGATATAAAAATGACAAAGGTAGATTATTGAATCTATTATGAAAAGAAAAAAGAGAATATGGATATGATAAGATTAAAAAGGGAGATTATGGAATCTACTTTTAAAAAGGAACTACTTGTTTTAAATAGGATAAGTAATGAAAAAATTTTGTCTGAATTTGTCAAATGTTAATGGACTGGACATTGTTATATATTAATGGAGTTTTTCATCTGAATCTGTCAAATGTTAATTGACTAGACATCGCGTTAATGTAATTCTTGACTGTATATATTATATATACTTATTAGATATAGTTTTTCTTTTAAATTTTAGACAAAAAAGTGGAAATGTGATGATATTGTGTTCCCCAAAATATTGTGCACCCTAATAAACTTATTATTTATTCTCTGGGGTCAGAGAACAGAGCAGCCACTAGATATAGAGGCCAGAAAATGGTGGCATACACACCTTTAATCTTATCACTTGGGAGGCAGAGATCCATCTGGATCTCTGTGAGTTTAAAGCCACACTGGAAACAGCCAGGCATGATGACTTATGCCTTTAATCCCGGGAAGTTAGACTTTAATCCCAGGAAGTGAGGGAACAGGATCAGCTGAGGAACTGGTGAGGTGAGGTGGCTGTGGCTTGTTCTGCTTCTCTGATCTTCCAGAATTCACCCCAATACCTGGCTTCAGGTTTGATTTTATTAATAAGAACTTTTAAGATTCTTGCTACAGGGGATTGAGAGTGGAGGCAAGTGAAAAGGGAGAGGTATGAAAAGCGAGGGGGAATAAGAAGGAAGGGTAATGAGAAGGGAGGGATAATGAGAAGGGAGGGGGATGAAAAGGGAGGGAGAATGAGCAGGAAGGGGGATGGGGAGAGAGGTGGAATGAGAGGGGAGGGGGAATGAGAAGGGGTAGGATTAGAAGGGGAGGGGAAGAGAAGGGAGGGAGATTGAGAAGGGAAGGAGGATGAGAAGGGAGTGGGAATGAGAAGAGGGGCAATGAGAAGGGAGGGGAATTGGAAGGGGAGGAAAAGTAAGGGGATGGGAAGGTAGGGGAAATGAGAAGGGAGCAGACATGGGAAAGGAGGGGTAATGAGAATGGAGGGGAATGAGAAGGGAGGGGGAAAGAGAAGGGAGGGGAATTAGAAGGGAAGGGGAATGAGAGGGAAGGGGTTGAGAAGCTTGGAGGGATGAAAAGGGATGGAGATGAGAAGGACGGGGGATGTGAAGGGAGAGGGGATGAGAAGGAGAGGGAATGAGAACAGAGCAGAAATGAAAAGGGAGGGGTAATGAGAATTGAGGGGAATGAGAAGTGAGGGGGGGAAAGAGAAGGGAGGGAGATAAGAAGTGAGGGTAATAAGAAGGGAGCGGGAATGAGAAGGGAGGGTATACTAAAAGGGAGGGGTCATAAGGGAGGGCAAGGAGAAGAGGGGGATGAGAAGGGATGGAGGATAAGAAGAGAGGGGGAATGAAAATGGAGGGTGGATGAGAAATGAGGGGGATGAGAAGGGAGGGGGACAAGAAGAGAGAAGGAATGAGAAGGGAGGGGGGATGAGAAGGGAGGGGGATGAGAAGGGAGGGGGATGAGAAGGGAGGGGGATGAGAAGGGAGGGGGATTAGAAGGGAGGGGGATGAGAAGGGAGGGGGATGAGAAGGGAGGGGGGATGAGAAAGGAGGGGGGATGAGAAGGGAGGGGGGATGAGAAGGGAGGGGGGATGAGAAGGGAGGGGGATGAGAAGGGAGGGGGATGAGAAGGGAGGGGGATGAGAAGGGAGGGGGATGAGAAGGGAGGGGGATGAGAAGGGAGGGGGATGAGAAGGGAGGGGGAATGACAATAGAGGGGAATAAGAATGGAGGGGTAAAGAGAAGGGAGGGGAATGTGAAAGGTGTGGATTGTGAAAGGAAGGGGGCAGAGAAGGAATGGAGAAAGGGATTGGAGGGTAAATGAGAAGGGAGGGGGGATGAGAAGGGAGTGGAAATTAGAGGGAAGGCTAATGAGAGCAGAAGTGGATGAGAAAAGAGGGGGATGAGTAGGGATGGGGACTGAGAAAGGAGAGGCAATTAGAAGGGAAATGTGCTTAGAAAGGTAGGGGATCAGAAGGGAAGGGGAATGAGAATGGAGACTAATGAGAAGGGCCGGAAGATGATAGCGGTGGTGGAGGCAGGGTGATGAGAAGGGCTGGGGATGAGAAGGAAGGGGGGATAAGAATGGAGGGGAATGAGAAGGGAGTAAGATGAGAATGGAGGGGGAACTAGAAGGGAGCATCAATGAGAGTTACAGGGTATGTGTGGGATGATGAGAAGAATGTGGGGATGAGATTGGAGGCCTTATGAGAAAGGAGGGTGATCAGAAGGGAGGGGGAATATTTAGGGAGGGGGATGATAATCATGGGGGATGAGAAGGGAGGGGGAATTAATTAATTTTTAATTTTATTTTATTGTTAGAGGTCATCAGAACACGAGAAACCTTTAGGACTGAAGCATTGTGAAGGCTGAGTGCTACTGCCCTAGGGTTTACTATTCTCCCCATTCCAGCACTATGCCTTAGTTGCCTGTAGTTCTTTGTCTAGGGTTGAGGTCTTAGGAGCTTCCCCCTTCCAAAATAGCATGTCTATTGGTGGCGTCCTTGTTCAAAAAATGCTTAGGTAGCTGTGTTAGTATGACATCATGGGTGTAATTCCTGACATTCCTAGGAGACACAATCTAAAAGCAAACTCCATATCTCCTCTGGCTCTTTACAATAGTCCTGTACCCTCTTCCACAATGATCCCTGAGCCTTGGGTACAGAAATTGTGTTGTAAATGTATCATTTGGGCAAACATACATACACACATGCATACATATATGCGTGTGTCAACAATTACAGAAATAGAAGCCAGAAATTTAAGAGAAAGAGCAGGGGTTTTGCATGGGAGGGGTTAGAGAGAGGAAAGATAGTAGGGAAATAATGTAATTATAATATATTTCAAAATAGTTATGAGGGCTATCTTGATTATTTGAAGAAGGAAAATGCACCCTAATTGTGGATGGCACTGTCTGGTGACCGCCCAGATAAAAGTACATGGAAGAAACAAACAGCACTGTTCACCTGCTTGTCCTCACTCTCCCTGGCAAGTTCATCAGTGTCCTTGCTGTGGCATTCCTTCATCAACATTAGAACCAACTTCTCTGGGATTTCAAGACAGACTGGAGACCAATAGCCCTCTAGGAATTGTCCAGGCCTCAGCACTACATTGGAACTGTTGAGACTTCCCACCTCACTTGTGAGCTGAACAGCTGCTGGATTCTCAGCCTCTCCAGTGTGAGATAGTCATTGTTTTACTACCCATATGGCATTGCCAATATAATAATCATATATGTATATATGTGTGTATGTATATATAATAGTTCTGTTCCTTTAGAGAACCCTGACTAATACAATGACTTATGAAGGTTTGATGTTTCTTGAACTCCTAATTTTTTCCATTAAATCATATATGACTGTTTGATGCTGTGGGATCTAGAACACCTTAAGTCCTTTATTCTTTCCTTTAAAAAATATGTATGAGTATTTTGTCTGTATGTATGTCCATTGTACTTGTTTGCATTGCCTGTGTGCGCAGTGTCTATAGAGACCAGAAGAGGGCATCAGATTCCCATGTAACTGGAGTTAGACAGTTCTGTGTTGGTGTATGGGTGCGGGGAACTGAACCCACGTCCTCTATCAGAGCAGCAAGTGCTTTTAAACTGCTGAGCCATCTCTCCAGGCTCAGCATCTTCAGTGTTTTAAATAATCAGTATTTTAATTTTATAATTGTCCATGCTGAACATGCTGCTTTACATAAATTTGTATTTGAAAAAGGCAGAAAAATCTGTAGGCTTACAGATTTTCAGAAATATTTCAAGACTGTTGTTTAAATATAATTTAATATCATGTACAAATGACATTTTAAAATCTCTTAATAAATCATGCAATTTAAATATTTTTTACACAAATATTTTAATCACGCATACCAATACCTCATAGTTCTTCAAACACCATACCTCTAAATTATTTTTGTTTCAATTAAGACTTCTTTTTAAGACCATTTTGTAGCTAGAGTTTTTCTCTTCAGGTCCCGCCAAGCCCCGGCAATCCCATAGCCCACTTATAAAATAAACATACAGATGCTTATATTATTTAAACTGCTTGCCCATTAGCTCAGGCCTACCACTGTCTAGCTCTTATTCTTATACTCAGCCCATTTCTGTTAATCTATATGTCGCCATGTGTTCTGTGGCTTTACCTGCTGCCTTTACATGATGCTCCCTGGACGGCAGGCTGGCATCTCCTCCTCTCCGCCTTCCTGTTCTTTCAATTCTTCTCTCTGCTAGTCCTGCCTATACTTCATGCCTGGCTCCTGGCCAATCAGTGTTTTATTTATCAATCAATCATCCACAGCACCATTTCTTAAATTTTCATACATGAATATGTTGTATGTTGGAAAGCTCTAGTTCCTTTTTAACTTTTTAATTAGCATGCAATAAAATTCATAATAATGAATTTCATTGTGACAATGTCATACATAAAAATCACACTCACTACGCACTTACTACTTCTTGTTCTTTTTTCACTGATCCATCCCTCTTCCCAACTAGTTGCCCTCCACATTAATGCATTTTGTGGTATGACTCGGTGAACTTAAATAGGGTTACTTACATTTGCATGGATTTATGGGCATATAGACAATTTGACAGTGGCCATATCAGTAAAGAAAAATGTTTCTTTCTCTCCCACACCTTAAACTAAGGAAAGGATGAGGCCTTGTGAGCCTCTCACCCTTCCATCCAGAAACATGTTCCAATTCTGTCCTAACTCCAGGTCAAAATTTATGTAGTGATTTTTTTTAAATGAAAATCCATTCAGTGTCAGAGATAGTGCTGGCTCTGACAAGCACACACTGGTCAGGTAGTGTTCTTAAATCATTAATTCAGTTTATAGGTTCCCTATGCAAATGACAAAGGAATTGGTTATCCAGGCTACACTCCTGCCACACCTTACAAAGTGTCTGTCTCCCTCTATTATGGTATCTCTTTCACTGCTCTCCCATTCCATCCCTGTTCCAGGTCAACCATCCCATTCCCTTATGTTCTCATTCCCCATCCCCTACCCTCTATTGCTCCCCCTCAACCCCAGTTTGCTCATGGAGATCTCATCTACTTCCCCTTCCCAGGGAAATCCCTACATCCCTTTTAGGGTCCTCCTTGTACCTAGCTTCTCTGGAGCTGTGGGTTGTAGTCTGATTATCCTTTGCTTTACTTCTAGTATCCACTTATGAGTGAGTACATACCATGTTTGTCTGTTTGAGGGGCCCCTGACAGTGGGAATAAGATCTATCCCTGGTGCATGAACTGGCTTTTTGGAGCCCATTGTCTATGGTGGGACACCTTGTACAGCCTTGATGCAGGGGGAGGGGCTTGGGCCTGCCTCAGTTCTGAATGTGCCAAGGTTTGCTACTTCCCATGAGAGGCCATACCTTTTCAGAGGAGGGGATGGGGGGTGAGTTGGGGGGAAGGCTGGCGGAGGGGAACGGGAGGAGGGATGAGGGGGGATCTGTGGTTGGTATGTGGAATGAATAAAAAATTTCTTAATAAAAATAATTTTTTATTAAATACTCTTTTGTACATTGTTTTCTTGGTACTTTTTTAAAGCTTAAGTCAGCATTGTCTTCCAGTGTTAAATGCATCCCTTGTTTCTTCTTTGAACTTTCTTGGCAATACAATGCAATGTGCAGAGCATCCATCCTGAGCCAGTTCAATTAGGTGTAAGTTCATATTGTTTTAATCTTTATGCAATCTGATAAGTAGATAAGCTCAAATTTAAGATCATTGAAAGCAAATTTATTATAAAAGGAATTGTTATGCATTAATACTGCAGTTTTCAATAAAGATTGACTTGTGTTACAAAAAAGAAAGAAAATCAGCATCTCAAACAGATTGTGTGTGTGTGTGTGTGTGTGTGTGTGTGTGTGTGTGTGTGTGTGTGTGTGTGTGCTCACACATGTACAGATGCCCTCGGAGGTCAGAAGAGGGCATCAGATCCCATATAACTAGAATGACAGGTAGATATTAGTGGTCTGAGTGCTGGGAACCAAACTCAAGTCCTCTGTAAGAGAGGGAAATGCTATTAACAGCTGAGCCATCCCTCCAGCCCTTCAAACAGAGTATTTTAAAATCAAACTTTCTAACATAGCACAATCACAAAAGCATAATAATTTGATAATTACCATACTAAGGAAGACCAGACATTTTAGGATCCTTGGCCTTTGAAATCTTTCAGCTTCATTGTCCTTTTCCCTAGAAAAGAAGTGGCTTAAAATCAGCATCGGAGGTAGAATTAGAACACTGGAAGCTTTGGCCTGAATTGTTTAGACAACCTGATTGGATGGTATGGTGATATTTTGTTTGTGCTTTAGCAAATAAACTTGCCTGAATATCAGAGGGCAGAGCTAGCCATCAGATAACCATATAGGCCAGGCAGTGATGGCACACACCTTTAATCCCAGCACTTGGGAGGAGGAAGCAGGAAGAACAGGAGTTCAAAGACACCCTGGGCTACACAAGATTGATCCAGTCTAAAAGAGAAACAGACCCAGGCAGTGATGGTTCACACCTTTGCTCCCAGCACTAGGGAGGTGGAGACAGGAAGTGATATGACTGGAGGAAGAGAGGAATATAAGGCAAGAGGAGACAGGAGCTCAGCATCCTTTCAGGCTGAGGATTACTAGAGGTAAGAAGTTTTTCCAGTGGCTGGCTGCTCTGCTTCTCTGATATCTGACTCTGGGTTTTTATTAAGACCAATTAGAATTCACGCTACAGGATGGCAACACAATTCTCAAGAACACCAGGTTCAACTGGCTGTGAATATAGAATGAACAATAAGTTTCATACATTTTGATTTGGGTTGAGATTATAAAATGGAGTATCTAGCACTTCTGACAACATTCCGCAGACCTAGCCACTTCCGGGTCAAAACATCTCGCATGACCAGGCCCCCCTGGCTTTGCGTGGTTGTGTAAAGCGCAAAGCACAACCATGTGATCTACGCGCATGCGTGGAATAGCCACATGGGCCTGTGTGCGCAGGCGCGGCCCAGCCTTTATGAGCCGGCACCATGATTTCCGGATCCATCTTTACTCACGTGTCCTTTCCACAGGCCTGTGCACATCTGTCTCTCTCCCTTATCTTAATAAAACTCTTGTTAGTGGATTCTGTCGTGTTTCATGACATTTCCTCGCAGGGTAAGAGCACTGCAAATAACCAACACTGATGTGAATATTGAGATGAAAAGCATTTGGTGACATTTAGTTTTAATAGAGCTGAAATATGAGGGTGGTGACACACTCGCTGTACTACCTCTTTGATCTCTAATGTAAATCTTATAATGGGCCACTAGTGTTATCCCCATTTCACAGACAAGGAAGTTGAAGGTCAGACACATCAAGCCACCATCCAAGAACACAGAGAACTCAGGCCTGGGACCCAAATGCTACCACTTGCCATCACACACACACACACACACACACACACACACACACACACACACACACATACACACACACACTGCTCATCCTCTCCTTGCCTCATAGCACTCTGCCCTTCATAGTTTCTTTTTCTCTTATTCTTGTTTTTATTTCTTTCCTCCTTTCTTCCTTGGATGTGATTAGAATCCAAGGATGTCCTGACAGTGAAAGGGGGAAAGTGACTGTGTCCTTCTCTGCAGAGGCTCATGCGCTGCAAAAGGACCCTTCCCTGCTGAGCATCACCATGAAGGCTGGAGCTTCCTGCATCAGCAGCCTGCACAGAGCTGAAAGCGATCAAGGAAGCAAGTTTTAGAAGTTCACGTATGAGGCAGAGGCAGGAGAATCTGTGGAAACTCATGGGCCAGCTAGCCTTGCTCATACAGCAGTGAGCCCAACAGAGCCCAACAGAATTTGAAAAACATGACTTACACAACTTCGGGAAAATAAAGGATGGCTGGTATGTCCACCCTCAGGAGAGGAGTGCCTACTGTAATTCTTCCTGACGGGTCCTTTAGAAGGAGTCTGATGGGACTTCTTGGGGTCAGGATTTTAGGAGGATGTTATGAGTCTCTGTGGTGTCCATGGGGCCTCTGACCAATAAATGAAATGTTCACAGATGATTTCCAAATTGGAGGTTTGTGGCAAGCTTGCCCTCATGAGCCTCTGCCTGTTCCATGTTTTGACCTTGTGTCCCTATGGCAGTCCTGCATTTACATGCTGCTTTCCTGCCCCTAGCTGCTTTTGTGTCCATTTTGCTATGCATACAGGTCTCTCTTGCTTAGCCAAAAATATTCACTGTCAGTTCATCATGTTCATCTTCAAACTGTTAACTGTCCTCCTTCACTGTATTAACTCAAAGTAAGCTTTTGAATGTCACAGACCCCAGTGTGTTATAAAAAAGTTCACTGTGTGGGTATTAGAGAACTCTATTTCTCTCAGCATGGTATTCACCTCCTCCCTGAAATGAGAAAATTTGTTTTTATGTCACTTGTGAGTGTATGAGTATTCAGTGGGTGCACACCTATCTCAGCACCCATGTGGAGGTCTGCAGACAACCTTGGGTGCCTTCCAGCTTGTTTGAGACAGGTTCTGTTGGGCTCACTGCTATATAAGCAAGGCTAGCTGGCCCATGAGTTTCCACAGATTCTCCTGCCTCTGCCTCACATCTCCCAGTAGGGGTGAGCTGGCATCTGAAGTACTGTGTTTGACTTTTAAAATTTTCTTTATTGAGAATTTTGTACATGAGTACTGCATGTACATCATTTCTACCCCTTCCTATCCTCCTCCCACTCCTCCTGGGTCTACTCCTCCAATCCCTCTTCATCTTTAATGATTGTTACATAAATAGGACCTAGTGAGTCCATTAAGTTTCACTCTTATGTACATTGCTTAGAGTTGGCCAATTGGGATTGGGTAACCTATCAGAATGTTTGTTCCTGGGGGGGACAGATTCTCCCTTTCTCATGATTACCTGTAGCTCCTCATGTAGGGGCAAGGCCTTATGAGGGTTCCTTCAGCCATGTCAACTGGTATCGTCATTATACAGGTCTTTTTTAGGTAACCATAGTATTGAGATTTTGTGAGTGCAGTGTCCCTGTCATGCCTAAAAGTACCCGGTGCCAGGGAAACTCCCAGGGATCCACAGAGATGACTCCACCTTAGAATACTAGCTATAGGAGAGAGGGTGCCTAAACTGGCTTACCCCTGTAATCAGATCAGTGAATACCCTAACTGTCATCATAGAGCTTTCATCCAGTAACTGATGGAAGCAGATGCAAAGATCCATAGCCAAGCACCAAGCAGACCTCTGGGAATCCTGTTTAAGAGCAGTAAGAAGGATTGTATGAACCAGGGGGGTGAAGGTCATCAGAAGGGAACCCACAGAGACAGCTGACCTGGGCTCATAGGAGCTCACACACTGGAGGGACAGCTAGAGAGCCTGAATGGAACCGACCTAGGACTTCTACATATGTATGATGACAGTTGTGTAGCTTGGTCTATCTTTGGGACTCCTAGAAGTGGGACCAGGGCCTTTCCCTAAGGCTTTGGTTGGCTTTTGGGAACTTATTCCTCATACTGGTTGCTTCGCCAAGTCTTAATCCAAGGGGAGGAGCTTAGCTCTGCCTCAACTTGATATGCCATGCTTTGTTGACACCCATGGGAGGCCTGCCCCTTTCAGAACAAAAACATAGGAGTGTAGTGTATGGGGGCAGAGGGGAGATAGGGGAGGGAATAGGAGGAGAGGAGGGAGGGGAAACTACAGTTGGGATGTAAAATAAATGAAAAAAATTAAGAAAAGGGAAAAAAAGAAGATACTGTCTCACAATGTCTTGGTCTTCTTGCTTTTACAATATTGCTATTCTCTCTTCCTCCATATTTTCTGAGCCTTACATGTAGGTGTTGCATTATACATGTACCAGATGGGGCTAGGTTCCATGCTCATTTCTTCTCTGCATTTTGACCAGTTGTGGATTTGCATAGTAGCCTCTGTGTGTCACAGAGAAAAAGAAGCTTCTGCTGTGAGGAATGAGAGCTATACTTCTCTGTGGGTCTGAGGATGAGTATTTAGAACCGTTTGAACTCAGACCACCATGCTTGGAAGCAAGCATCCTTGCCTATTAATCTATCCTGCTGGTCCACTCCTTTAAGACATTTTTGTTTAAAATGAAACATCTTTTCAAAATGATAGTGATAGTGCACAACAGTTTTAACTGAGCAACAACAGAAGAATAAATATCTCTAAAATGTTTTCAAATTGAATAATTCGGTGAAAATAAAATGAGAATTTACTGTTTTAGATCATTGTGGTGGTTAGTTTTAAATGTCAACTTGACACAACCTAGATTCATCTGGGAAGAGCACCACAATGAGGGATTGTCTTGATCAGGTTGGCCTTGGGCATGTCTGTGGGGGGCTGTCTTATGTGA